ACTTGTGTCTGGAACAAGGAGCTCGGGTAGAGCTGAGCTAGTTCCGCCTTACCCACGAACCAGGGCACATGGCGCACGGGGCTACCTAGCAAGGGGGAGGGGTCGTATTCGGTCGCTAGAGTGTGGGAGAGGTCGTATTGGCCTTTGAGAAAAATGGCTTCAGTTGTTGACTACTCTCAATTCGTTTGCTGACTTCTCTCGGCCGTTCCTGTTGCACTTGCGTATGCTAAACCCTACCACCCCCCTCCCGTTCCGCTCGACTGTGGTTTCTCTAGGAAAAGCTGGAGAACTTTTCGAAAAAAAGGTAGAAAAGAAGGGTAGGAATTAGGGAAGGCGGAAAACCAAGGCGGATGGTAGTTAAGATGGGGGACAAAGGAGGATGGAGTCGTACCATTGGAGAAAATTTGGGGAGGGGGTCGTATTTTGCGAAAAAAAATCCCAAGGGCAGGATGTCCTTTGTCTGGAATAGCGGCGGACGTCGCTCACCGTCCTTGTTGACTTTTGGTAGTTGAGGAGAATTTGTGACTTTTTTCTCATTACGATAATTTTTTAGTAGCGCACGGATGCATATATGCAATGGTTCAACTGTTTGATGCCTCTGGGCAGATGATCGAAACAGGAGGAACCTTGAGCGGCGGTGAATTGAATGGGTAAGTAGTTAGCGTGCACTTTTTAACTCCAGAATTGTTTCGTTTTTAACTTGGCTCTTTATGGTAACTACGTGTTGTTTTTCGCCGCAGATCCGTAAGGCTGTGTTCATGCTTTGGTTAGCTTCGAGCATACGTCAGCGTCTTCAGCGAATGTCCGCGAGAAGTTCAAAACTACCCGCGAAACGGTCAAAAGGCTAGATCGATGCCTACCCTCGATGCCTGCTTTCCTAGTCGCTCAAAACCCTGACTTAGGCAGCGTTCAGACTTCGCGACTGGCAGCGCTTCGGTCGCGCGATTCGACGATCGATGCGCATGCTTTCGACTGCATCGATCGCGTCGAACGCGCGACCGAAGCGCTGCCATCGCGAAGTCTGAACGCTGCCTTACGCTCGAAACGCTCAGAACGCTGATGCAAAATATAAATGCAGCCTTAGCACACAAGCCTGAAAATCATGAGGTTCGAGTCCCGGCTGAGGTCAAGTATTTTTGCTCATAGTTCGTCATTCATGTAATATTTTTCCACTTCAGATGTATTTATTTCTTCAGTACGTTGCCGAATTGCGAACCTTCCCTAGTCAACAATCACCAGTTGTTCCAAATGCAGCAGTATCTGTCAGAAGCGCTCTATAGGTAAGTTAAACAATCGGTCTCCATCCCTGAGCCTTCTTTTCTAAGTGAACGACTCATAGTCTTCGTTTTCAGGGAAGAAGCTCGCCAACAAAAACTTGAAGCCTTGGAAAAGATGCTGGAAGCTACCGAGCATGCTTCGGAAGCGGCTTGGAAAGCCCTTGTCAACGAGGATAGGCTTTTGTCAAGGTACGCTTTCTTCTTAAGTTCACTGATACTCTTCAAAATCTTTTTTTTACAAATTTTATCGAGATTCCCATGGAAACATTTGGCGAGGAATGCCCTGCCTAAACACGGATGCTGGCTTCGTTTTTTCTTTTCTGCCCAAGCCTCTGGCAACCGTGTTCAGGATATACCAAAATCATAGCTCAAAAATATGTGAGAAAGTGCAACCCGATCGCGATGAGGCCAGCGCCTCGCCCACTAGTCACCACAACGCCCAGCTTTCATTTTTGAAGGTTTCCTGGTGGCGCAGTTGTCTCGCTACTGGACCTCTCCATTTCAGACGGTCACAGTGTGGTCATAAGGAGAAAGACCTGGTTCCAACGTGGTGACTCGTCCGGCCACGCCCATTCTTCGTTCTAGGCACGCATAGGCGCGGTTCAGCATGGAGTTCTCTGTGGAGCATTTCCTGCGGGCTTTCTTTTACATCTTTTCTTCTCTACCAAGTCCGCCTTGCAATAAGAATTCAAGCTGCACAACTCACCATTTTTGCTGAGATGCCTCTA